CAGAATGACACAAATATGTTGTGTTTGAGTTGTGCTCTTGATAAGCCATTAAAACAGTAAAATAAGTGTCTCCTGTTCACCAAAACATACCCACATACCCACATCAACAGGAGTCCGGTTAACTAAAATGTCCGTGCGGAACAATACCCCCAACCCATAGATCCGTGGGTGAATAATGTCAATCACCACATTACACACATCCCTTCACATTTACATTTTAATTTACATTAAAGTATTTCGTGAGGCTGTCTAAAATGTTTTAAAATATAATTAGGGTTGTAGTTGAAGAGTTTGTAAATTGCGTTGCCTGGCAACGCAATCGCACAACGTCACGTCCGTTAATTCCACATCCTCACCTCCACACACATCGATTAACATCGATTTAATACATTAATGTAGCCTTTGTTTCTGCTAAAAGAGGTGTCGACCAGCTAGGGCAACAAGAAAATCGGCAAAATCGAGTGTGACGATTAAAAAATAAATTAAAAACATCTAATTTTGACAATAAAAACCGACCAATAGGCGCGGTAGACCATTTGCTAGGCACTTCCGGGTATTTCTCCACTGGTTGGGCCATGATAACAATACCGTGTAACTGTCACGTTTGAAGGGACGAAACCGTGATATATTCACGTCTCCCAGCATGGTAGATCGTCACATGTTCACGTCTTGCCGTGATACCGGGTTGGTTAAAATATATAGTAGGAGATATTAGAAAAACAAGTATGTAAAAAGATGTGCATAATATTACAATATGCACAGTATAAATGCATAATGTATGCCAGAGTATTGATCACATGAGTTATTATTATTACATAGAGTATTGATCAGATTAGTTATTATTACATAGAGTATTGATCAGATTAGTTATTATTACATAGAGTATTGATCAGATTAGTTATTATTATTACATAGAGTATTGATCAGATTAGTTATTATTATTACATTGAGTATTGCAAAGATTAATTATTATTATTACATAGAGTATTGATCAGATGAGTTATTATCACATAGAGTATTGCTCAGATTAGTTATTATTTAAACTTTACTCGTCGTATTTTATATTTGATTATTCCGACAGTTTTCCTAAAATGTTGGAATTGTCTCAAATGTCTTTATCTCCATGATATTGTTCTCCTCCTCTCTCAGCAGAAATCTCTTACAGAAACCAAAGCGTCCACATTCCTTCCTCTCTATATTCTGAAGCTTTCTACACACACACCGTTCACACACTCATTTATTAACAATTTATTGCAAAAAATGTGCAGAAAAAAACATCTTTGAATTCAAACATAGCACGTACACAAATTATAAAGAAATCCAATTATAAATAAATCAACAGAAACTAAAGTGTGACTCCCAACCTGAACATGACTTCTGGTATATTAACTTTAATAAATAACAATGTAATAAATATGAAACATACAGGTCAATATCACCTTGCTATTGGTAGCTGAACTGTCAACACCCCAAAACATATTCTTAGATAGAAATACCTCATTTTGAGTTATTTAGACTTAATTTAGTGGGAATGCTGTTAACAGTTGTGCAATGTAAACAAAAATGGAAAATAATTTGTATATTCAAACCAAATGTAAATGCTTCTTCCCGTGCTACGCCCTTTTACAATTTGAAAATGTTACTTTTTTCCTCAATTGGAGCTAACATCTATGGAGCAACCATCGACTGTATATTGCAACAGGCATCAGCTTCGGTTCATGTTAATTTACAAACTCTTCAACTACAACCTTAGTTATATTTAAAAACATGTTACAAGGCCTCACGAAATACTTTAATGTAAATTAAAATGTAAATGTGAAGGAATGTGTGTATATTAACTGTGGGTTTTTCTTTGGAAGTTTTTCCTTGTACGATGTGAGGGTCAAAGGACAGATGATGCCGTTTTTCTCGTACTGATATTCCGCTATGCACGCTGGGATTTGGTGTTTATGCGATGTGAAATCCGAAAACATTTAAAAAAAATTAAATAATACATTATTCCGAGTGTGCTTGCTTTTCTCTTTGAAAGTCATCACATAACAGCATTGTAATACACGTTTCGGCTGCATTAAATATGACATATCTGCCGTAGTTAACTCTATGTATAGAGCCCTGATGAGAACACTTCTAGACAAACAGGAACTGCCGCCAAAACTGAAAACTTGACGTGGATCTTAAATATATAAGCAATTAAACAACATCTTACATTTCTTTTCACACAATACGTCTCCTTGCAGTATCAACACTAATTCGGCTGACTTTTATATTTGATCCAATTGGTAGATAGGCTGTATTTACGCCATAACGGTGCACAGCTGATAGAAAGGCACATCTAGTGGTTAAAGCACGTTATTGCATTTTATAATTTTATTATTTATGTTTGGCTGCTACCGGCACCATCCATTTATTCAGCTCACGTGACAAAATGAGACATGAGTGAGGGTGGGGCTGTGATTCGGCTATACACCGCCGCCGCGTAGTAATAAAGTTGAGCGCATACATAGTGAGACCTACAGTACAGAGACGGTTTAGAAAATATATTAATTTGACCCTATAGAAAAGCTGTGTTATTTATGGTGAAGAGTGAGTGTCATTTAAAACAATGTATGATGAGTGAGGTTGTGCCCGGAAAAGACAAGATACAAAATAAATACTTCTTTTTTTTTTTTTTTGTATCTTGTCACTGAGGGCCCTCTTTGCTCAAGGGCCCCTGGGCACTTGCCCAGGTTGCCCATATGGTTAATCCGGCCTTGGTAAAAGTAGAAGTACTCAGGTCTTGTACTTGAGTAAAAGTAGAAGTACTCAGGTCTTGTACTTGAGTAAAAGTAGAAGTACTCAGGTCTTGTACTTGAGTAAAAGTAGAAGTACTCAGATCTTGTACTTGAGTCAAAGTAGAAGTACCAGAGGGTAGGAATACTCTGTTACAGTAAAAGTCCTGCATTCAAAATGTTCCTCAAGTGAAAGTAGAAAAGTATTCTCATCAAAATATAGTGAAAGTAGCGACAGTAAAAGTAGTCATTGTGCAGATTGGTCCATTTCAGAATAATATATATGATATGTTTTATAATGATTGATCATGAAAGTGTTCTCAAAGCTGGTAAAGGTGCAGCTAGTTTGAATGACTTTGTATACTGCAGGGTAGCTTGTGGATTTACTCCAGGTGGAACTAAAGTCTGATTTAACACTTGATTATATTTCACATCATTCATCCACATCTGAGAAGTAACTAAAGGTATTAAATACATGAAGTGGAAGAAAAGTACACCATGTACCTCTGAACTGTAGTGGAGTAGAAGTACACCATGTACCTCTGAACTGTAGTGGAGTTGAAGTACAAAGTAGCATAACATGGAAATACTTAAGTAAAGCAGCACCTCTTTTCACCCTCTGTCTGAAACCAGAGCCCAGTCTGCTCTGATTGGTTAGCTGGCCGGCTCCGTTGTGATTGGTCAAAACGCTTACACATGTCCCGCCCCTTAGCCTATCACGTACAATGTGTTGGAGCGCTAGCCAATAGGAGCGTGAGGGTATATGTGAAACAATTATCTTTCTAGAAAAAGTTTTTAATGTATTTCTTTAATGTATTTAATTTAAAAAAAAAGAACTTATTTAGTACATCTGGTTGATAACTTTGATGTTTTTTTAAAAATATATATATATATAAACACAAGTTAAAGCATCCAAAGTAATAAAGCAAATATAGAAAGTCAACAACAACAACAAGTAAACAGAAGTAATATTTTATTCAGCTCAAACAGAACAATATTAGAGATCTTCTTATTGAAATGCTCACAGCTTAAAATACACATGAGCATCTTAAATAAACAAAATAAATAAAAAGACACTCCTTGGAAGTTTCCTGGAAAGAATATAGACCTGTCAGTGCACTGCAAACATATATTATATGGCAAATATAATAAATTAAAGACCATTTTTATAGTATTTCTTATATAGAAATTCACATTTTTACAAACATATTACATATCTCTTTCCAGGAAACTGTCAAGGAAATAATTAAGCCCTTAAGACAAATGTTCATGGGTCTATTTCTCTGAATAATCTCTCAAATATTTACAAACATACTCCTAAAAAAAGAACTCTGTAATGCGTCACTAAGTAAAGCGACAATGGGGTTTAATTGGGATAATTTATAAATAATATTTGTGTACTTTTTAAACGATATCATTGGGCATTCACATTTAGATCTCTCAGCTATAGATGAGGATAACGTTTCATCTTGGAAGAAGAACTGATAGCGCCAATAAAAGGGACTTCTCCTTTTTAGGTATATATTATATATAATACATATATTGTATATTCTTGACTTTCAAAAATTGGTCAAAAACACTCTCCTTTTACTTTTAGAATAAGGTCTGCCTGTAAAGCCTCAGATTTGAAAGAACATCCTATTCTGAGTCCCAAACAAATAGTTTTGTTTATTTATAACGATCTTAACTCCCAGAAATATATATAGGGAAATATCCACTTTAGGACAAGAATTGGATTTGGATGCAATTTGTGTTAATGTTAGTGCTTCAAAAAACCCAAACCATCAGTATATACGTCTGAAATGTTGTCATAGAGCATATCTCTCCGGCAGTGGCTCAGTCAGTCGGGGCTTGGACCGTGAGCTGTAGGGTCGCCGGTTCAAGTCCCCGAACAGACTTAAAGTATGGAGTGTGGACTTCTACTTGGAGAGGTCCCAGTTCACCTCCAGGGCCCTGCCGTGGTGCCCTTGAGCAAGGCACCGGACAACCTCCCATTGCTCCCCGGGCGCTGTGCAATAGCTGCCCACTGTTCCTAGTACTAGACTCCTGGTGCTAGGATGGGTTAAAAGCAGAGGACACATGTCACTGTGTGCTCTGCATGTGAGACCATTACAGAGGGGTTCATCCCTCCCAATTCTATTCTATCTAACACTAATAATTAGACCCTTATTGTTCATTTTGTCCCCATTGGCTCTTTCTTACATGTTGTATGGGAGTGTCCAGGAGTATAAATTACACTTTTGGGGGAAGTTTATTAAAGATCTTCTAAATGATGAATCTCACCTTTCTCTTACGCGGAAAACTCCCAAAAATCTGGCTTGACTGAAGCTCAAAAGATTATAGTCCAACGTTGGAAACCTCCTCACGAGAGTTTTTTGAACACTTCTTACCTTGAAGTATCTCCGGTGAGAATCAACGATGCAAAACCTGATCTGATATCTAACTTAAAAAGAGCTCCTGATCAAATAAGGATGCTTGAATGAATCCAAAACGTTGTGCAACCTGGATTGTTTTCTGTGTTGAAGATGTTGCAATAAAAAATGTATGATAAAATAGAGTTTTTACAGAATTATCCATAAAGGAAATGTCTATTTTTCCTTTGAATTAGAATCAAAGTTAGTTTTTTATCGGGGAAATCTATTAAATAAAAACAGTACGAGTTTTTTTTAAGAAACAATCTGACACTTATTTGAGTTTTTACAAGGTATATTTACTCCGTTGTAAATAAATGATGCATTTAGTGAAGCAAGACTTGACACAGAAATGTATATTATAACATTACAACAGTTCAGGAGTGTTCCTTATGTCCTTTTTTTAACGTGAGACATTTCAGAAGAAGACACCAGGGGAAGAAAAACTGCTTCAAAACGAAAGATAATTTAATTGACATTTAGGTTTAAGCATCATTTTTTGTCAATTTCCCATTTAAAAAAAAGACCAAAACTGAGAGTGCATTGATGCTCAACATAAGATTGTTTATATCCAAAAATATGCACTTTTTCCCTTCTTTAGTAAATACCACATTTTCTTCCATTAAATAAAAGTGTTTTTCTGTTTTATAATCACTATAAATTGAACTATTTGAATACTTCAGACTTCGAAGAACTTCGAGGAACTTTCTCAATGATAAGAACATCATTAGTAACAAAAACAGGTCAAAAATGACACATTTCTGTCATGAGCGGGAAACAATGCGTCTCACACAGAAACAGGAAGTGAAAAAATACCAGAAATTGACAAATGTTTTAGATTTTGGTCTCTTTTTTAGGCGGTTATTGACAAAAATTAAATAATTCCAGCTTCCTGAATAGATTGTCAGACACCTAAAGCGAGAGAGAGTGCGCACGAACAGACGCAAGTCAACTGAAATTTGCTAATTATGGAGTGGTGCAGGAATGAGCATTTCTTCAACTTCCTGTTCGCTCGTCTGGGTGTTTTTTTAAATGCGTTTGAAAGAAAAGATTAGCCGCCTTTAGCTTAGCATTGGGGATGTTGAGTCATGTGCTGTAGTTCCTTTGTAGTGTCTATCCTGCTGAACAAAACCTTTACGCATCCTAATGGTTGAGATGGAAGGAACCCGGGAGATGCTGGATGTTATTCTGGGATGATTTAACTGATGTAGGTGAAGACGACGGACTGGATGGGCAGCCTGCACACGGGACACAGCTTGTTCCTTTTCTTCAGCTTCCTGGCGCACACGTAGCAGGACATCAGGTGTCCCGTGTTTCCGTGAACGATGCAGCCGTTCTTCGGACGCGACTGACAAATGAGACACGGATCCAGACAGGAGTCGGGAAGACGCCATTCTGCAGAAACACTGCGCTCCAGATCAGGGACTCCAGCAGGAGGACGAGGAGTGTTGAGGGAAGATGGGAGGAGCTCCTGGGAGTCGATGGAGGACGAAGAAGGCTGGTAGTCAGGAGTGTTCTGCTGCGAGGAAGAGGACGGCTGGGAGGAAGAGAGGAGCTCCTCAGAGTTTGGGGCTGAAGAGTCGGAGAAGCACTGAGACAAAAGAGGCGTCTCTTTTGATCTTTTCCCATCGGGGACGTCCACTCCTTCGTTCTCCTCGCCATCTGAACCTACAGGAGACAAAGCGAACATCAGTAAAAGATGCCAAAGTAGGAGAGAATTTAAAATGTACGTCTAATATCGATCGTTTTGTTATTTCCAACATCTTGCAATCTACTCATTTATATAAATAGTTATCACCGCAATAAACCGTATTTAATTTTGTCTTAATGTACATTATTTAATTTCATATTCTGTTCTTGTTCTATTTTCATGTTTATAGACTTCTTGCACTACTTTTTATTTGTATTTTATTATATATGTTGCGTAGTAGGAGGAGCTCAGGTCAGAATAATTGAGCATATGACGTAAACAGGTAAACAGCTTCTCTCTACCTGGAGTCTCTCTGGCTGCTGATTGGTCGGTTGGCTTTGTGGGCAGGTCTTTGGGACTGGAGGAGGCGGGCTTTGGGGGGAGTGACGCTTCAGACAGCCAATCCTGACGCAGCGTCCAGCAGCGAAGACATTTTCCGGGCAGAGGTGGGTTCAACTCGTCACACTTCACACAGCGCCAGTAATCCTGAGAGAGAAACACACACTGTTAGATGTGTGTGTGTGTGTGTGTGTGTGTGTGTGTGTGTGTGTGTGTGTGTGTGTGTGTGTGTGTATACTCACAGCTTCAGTGATCTCTGTGTCTTCATCGAACGAGTCGTTATCGTCCGCCTCAAATATGGTGACCTCGTATACCTGGACACAGACAGAGAACAAAATATATAAAACAATCAATTTGTTCATACATTATATTCAGTCTGCTCTGATTGGTTAGCTGGCCGGCTCTGTTGTGATTGGGCAACCAGCTTAGAGATGTCCCGCCCCTTAGCCTATCACGCACAATGTGTTGGAGCGCTAGCCAATAGGAGCATCACAAAACTCAGGGTATATGTAAAGAAATTATACTTTTCCTTCTAGAAAAAACTCTGGTATGTTTAGTCTTTTACATTATTTCTTTCATGTATTTAATTCTAAAAAATAAACTTATTTTTTTATTCATAGGAACATTTTAAATAAATAAAATAAATGTATTCATTAAAATACTTTTCACGTACAATGTGTTGGAGCGCTAGCCAATAGAAGCACGAGTGTTCCGTAGTGATGTCACCGTGTTCCGGAACTTTGGGATTTTAGCGTTTGCAGAACATTTACATGCACTAAAACACACTACAGGAGAGGGAACCCCCCCCCCCCCCAAAAGTAGAATAGGGTCTCTTTAAATACTAAAATGTAAACAGATGAATATTTACCTGGTCGTCTGCTGATATCAGAGAAGCTTCGTCTTCGTTGTAGTCGTCCGAGTCGACGGATTCGACCTCGAACTCCACGCTGAAGTTGTCGCTCTCCGAGTCTGAGGCGGCAACCGTGATCTCTGACCTGCCAGACTACACACACACACACACACACACACACACACACACACACACACACACACACACACACACACACACACACACCCACACACACACACACACACACACACACACCACACACACACACACACACACACACACACACACACACAACACACACACACACACACACACACACACACACACACACACACACACACACACACACACACACACACACACACACACACACACACACACCACACACACACACACACACACACACACACACACACACACACACACACACACGATGAATACAATGAAAGCTAATGAGTGTCTTTGAGGGTTATTATTGTAAGCTAACAGTGAAACTAAAACACTAAAAATAGAAAACCCACTCTGAAAACAAACTACAATAAATTGGAAAAATAATTCAAACGAATCATTAAAGTGTAAATGCTTAATAAAACAGAGAAAAAGAAATGAAACATTATAAAAACACAACAAAAATGTGTGTAAATACTCACGGTGCTGTGTGAGTCTGACGATTGGCTGCTGTGTCTGTCCTTCACCAATCCTCCAATCACACACCACGACAGACTCTCATCAAACGTCAGGGAGTAGCTGTCAGACCTCATCCTCTTCCTCCCTCCTTCTTCATTATCTTCCTCCCCTGACTCCTCCTCCTCCTCCTCCTCTTTCTCAGCTTCACCACCCTCTGTGCTGTGTGAGGGTCCTGAGAGAGAGAGAGAGGCAGTGATGGAGTTTAATACCTCAGACTTAAAGGTCACCTATCATGCTATTTGTAGGCAATAGCATAGGTCTCAGATATATACAAATATATAAAAAACATGTCTATGAAGTGTTTTGCTCAAAATACCAAAAAGATCACCCATTCTAGCCATGCCTCATATCCCTCTGTTTCACTTCCTGTTTCAAAAGTGCTGAGGAGGGGTCTGAGCTCATGCGGGACCCGGCAGCTACTGTCTAAACTAAATACTGCGGTGATGAAACGCCATATCATGGATTATCAAGGATTGTCTCTGAAACAGTATGGAGCTCAAAGGCTTTCTCTCTTGCCGGTTATACCACAAGGTGAGTTCCTTTTTATTTCCTGCTTCTTCACACACATGCTCTCCAGTACAGGTTAGCTCTGAGTGTTAGCGATGCTAATGTAAACACCGACCATATTACGTCCAAAACAGTCGGGCATTGTTTCTGATAGCAACGTTTCTGATAGGAACGTGGGTCCACATTTCAGATATTACGTCATATCGGACGCAAATCTGGATCAGCTCCGTTGTTCCCCCGTTTTTAGAGATTTGGGTACGGAGGAAAAGAGAGGGGGTTTTATTTTCTGACGCTGCGTGAGTTCCCTGACACACCGGGGACACATGTTGATGTAGAGAAGACATCAAAAAGTGCATTTTGCATGATAGGTCCCCTTTAAGAGGAGCGAGTACCATGAAAAACGCTCTATAAATAAAATTTAAATTAAACTCACCGGCATCGCTGCTTCTGCCGCTGCTCCTCCTTCTCCTTCTTCGTCTTCCTTGCCCTTCTGGTGATGAAGAGCGGCTTTCTGAGTCTGCCTCCTAAAAGCACAAACACACATTTATTAGATATTCTAAAATATTGTTTAAAACTCTGTCAGTTTCATTTTTTCTTTGCCTTTTCCCATCATAATCCCTGTAGCAAATGATGCCCCTACATGCGCTTTAATATTTAAAATATTCTCCTAAATTAGGCATTAAAAGTCATTCATTAAAAGTTTCTGATAAATAACAAAAACTTCTCTAAAAATGAATGCATGCAGTTGTTGTTTTTAGAGCATTACTGCATGCTTCTTACTGCCATTTCAATAGAGTGCCGCAGTGACGCGTCCTAAAACACGGAAGTAAACTCCTTCCGGTTCCTTCAACAAAAACGCAATGAGATTTCTCCATAGGATTAGCTGGAAATAAGGTCTGTGGTTGAAACACATTGAAGAGACGGATCACGTTTTGTTCAGGATAATCTCCACATGTCTACTTTTATCATTTTATAATCATAAATCTAGTCGCCTGAAGCAAAATGCTAACGTTATGCTATCAACGAACTACAGCAGGGTCGCTGCTTCAACGTCACGCCAACTTAAGATCCATATTCAAACATACAGATTCTAAATGGTACGAGTTGAAGCGTTTGTTTGAACAGTTTGCAGGAGGCAGGGACTTGCTTTCAAGCAGAACAGGGCAAACAAACTTAGAGGAGTGTTTACGTGTTCGGCGTAATGACGTACAACGGCCTCGACAACTTCTGTAGTCCTATTCAGCCACATGGTAACAACCATCGTTTTTCAGACACGTCAACTCTTCAGAAATCACCAGTGGGGTCAAAACGTGATCTGTCTCTTCAATGTGTCTCAACCACAGACCTTATTTACAGATATTATCCTAAACCCTATGGAGAAATTGCATTGTTTTTTGTCGAAGGAACCGGAAGTGGTAAAATGCTAACTTACTTCCGGGTTTTAGGACGCGTCACTGTGGCACACTATTCCGTTCGTGTCAATGTGTTGATATTCAATTCTAACATTTGCATTGAAATAACCAATTCTGCACATATTTACAAATATCTTGTCCTACTTTTGGTCCTTTTCTTACAATTTTTAATATCTAATAATGTGTCTATGTGTGCACGAAAGCAAATCCCCAGTAAGTGTTAACCTACTTGGCAATAAACCGGCTTCTAATTCAGATTTTTGAGGTAAGATTTGCTCAAAACGGACTCAAACACGACACTTATATTTGATCTGAGTCTCACCTCGGCCCCTTTGTCTGTCTGAGTCTCACTTTGGGGTTCAATGGGGCTCGGTGGTGAATCTGAGGAAGAAACAGAAAGACGCGTTCATTTTTTATGAAGAGGAAGCGGAGAAGAGGAACAGTTGCATCATGGAAATGAGGAAGTTATTTTAGACTTCAAACACAGCTCCGTCTCCTAAACAATGCTTTTGTTTGAACCATTTCATCCCCACTCATGTCTATATAACCAATGTGTTTATTATTTAATCGTTTCCAAGAGCACAGTAGTTCTCCCTTTACTTCAAAAAGTACATCTCCCGTCTGACGGCACGGTGTCTCCAAAGGCAATGAGTCCATCAAATGTGTTTTTCAAAGCAATTGTGAAAGCTAAATCCCCCCTTTGGTAATAAATAAAGAACTGTGTTAAATCTTGACATTTAAATGACGCTAATGTAAAAAGTTGAGCGGTCTTACCTTGGCTTTTTATCGCCACGAGGTTCTTGGTGATCATAGCGAAGAGAACTCTGAAACAAACATACAAATATATATTATTATTTATCATGTTTTGATATGTGATACTATATTATATACGTACTTGCTGTGTTGTTGCACTATGCCATATTATATTAAATGAGATGCATTACTTTCTGCATCCTATATCAGGGTTTTAAATGCAGATATTTATTTTTACTAAATTCAACGTATATGAAGTTCAACACCTGCTATAAGGTTTTTATTTGATAATCTATGGTAATAGTATTAAAAATAGTCAAATAAACTGCTTTCCATAACTGGCATAAACATCCCTTTTGCTGAGAAACAGTCAGTTGTTGTTGTTGTTGTTGTTACTGTAGAGCAGACCAAAACAAACACTAATAAATCATCCTCACCGTGGCTCTTTAACAGAGAAGCTGTCGACCCCCAGCACTCGCCCCAGTGCATCCTGGGAGCAGTGGACGATGTGCTGCTGCTTCTGGTCGTACAGCTGCTTCTGGATGATGTACTGACCCAGGTAGAACATCACCTGCAGGACCAATACATCACATATTTAGCATGGGAGACATTCAAAATGTACATAAAACCTCCAATAAATACAAATAAATCCATGTTTACCTCCTTCATGGTGAAAGTGTCTTTAGTGGCTCCAGCGTGTTGCAGCAACGTCTGGAACTCTAGCTTTGGTTTCACCTTAAAAAACACACAAAATGTAGATACGATTTGAATAACAGACACTCCTACAAAGTTCTCTGACCATGTGTGTGTGGATAGACACTACTGTAAAACCAAATAAATAAAAATAACCATTCACTTTTTCTTATATAGCAACTTTTAAACACAGTTACAAAGTTATTTCCAATCAGAAATCGGAGGAAAACAAACAAAAAAAGTGTATTTTATAAAAAAAAAGGGACCTAGTCTGCTCTGATTGGTGGAACTTAGAGATGTCCCGCCCCTTATAGAGGCCAATAGAAGCACAAGTGTTCCAAGTGATGTCACTGTGTTCCGGAACTTTGAGATTTTAGCCTTTGCAGACCGTTTACATGCTCTAAAAGCTATATAAAAAACACCCTATAGGAAAGGGGAAAACCCCCCAAAAAGCAGATTAAGGGACTCTTTATGTCGTTTCTCTCACCAGTTTGTTGTCGTCTGCAGTGTCGACGTTGAGCTGGCTTTCCGCTGACATTGTGAGGTTGATGGTTTCTGCACACAAACAGGAAATAAAATGATTAGTGAAGTGAACCATGACGATAAAAAACTCCAAGGAACCGGCAAGTAAATTGGATTGGACGTTTTAAGTCCTGGCATTGCCTTCAAATTCGCTAAATACTTAAATACTACAACTTTTTTGGGGGGGTTGAGTGTTAGCTTTAATGGTAAGGGTTAGGGCTGCACGATATATCGTGTCGTGGCGATAATCGCGATATTCACATCGTGTGGACGTGCAATTAAAAAAAAAGAAGCAATGTTTAAATTATTTTTTTTCTCCTTTTTTTTAGGACTTGCGATATTAAGTAGGCAAATTAACTCAAACACGTCATGTTACAATTATTTTGCTGCTTGCTACAAAAGGAAAACTTGCGCGGCTCTCATGTCAGGGGTCCTTGAGTGAGTGACAGCAAACCATCAATCACAATCACATCTCCAAAGCAAACGGACCCGGTGATTAAAGGTAGAAACTAGGGCTGTGCAATTAATCGTATTTTAATCGCAATTACGATTTTGGCCTGCCACAATTACGAAAACAACATAATCGAAAAAAACAATTATTTAGCTTTGCTAGGTTGTGACAGTGCAACATATATGATCTAATTAATTTTGGTCCCATTTATTTGTATTTATCATATTTATATATGTTTAGTAGCTTGTTGAAGTGCGCTCCAAAATATTTGTTGATCTTGTTTATTGGTATTTATTATTTTGATATTATTTATTTAAATGTATCATTTATTTTTGTATTGGTTTTTCAGTTGAATTTTACGTTCAGGGTAATCAACAGTTAAAAAGATACTGTTCAAATTAATATTTGTATTTGTTTTAAAGTTCAATAAATGGATTTTTTCAAAGTCAATGAATAATCGCATTTAATAATCGTGATATCAATTATTGACCCAAATAATCGTGATTATGATTTTTGCCATAATCACACAGCCCTAGTAGAAACACTGAATAAAGTAGTTTCATGTGTTTCTCCAGGGCAGTTTGGCGCTGCTAACCGAGCTAGCTCAGCTTGTTGCTCTGATAACTTAAGATCCAGACGTCCGTGACTAAAATCCTTCATCCGGTTAAATATAGTTAAAAAAAGACCAATTGTATAGCATTAAAGTTCAAGAAAGGATGGTTTGGTAAGGAGGCGTGTGGCGCAGTGGATCGAGCAGTCAGCATGTCGTTGTGTCCCTGAGACACTTCACCCCAAAGTGCTCCTGTGGGGATTGTCCACAGTATTGAGTATGTACGTCGCTTTGGATAAAAGCGTCTAACAAGTAACATGTAATGTAATGTTTGCGGGAAAAAACGGTATTTTCTTCAATTCCTGTATGTTTTTATATCGCAATATATATCGCAGGGTAGGGGGAAATTGCAATGTCAGTTTTTTCCAATATGGTGCAGCCCTAGTAACGGTCAGGGTGCAGTATTTGTACATAATACCACAACGGATACACTTCAATATCGGCAGGAATACATAAGCAAGCATGATGTAAAAACATAATTATAGTTTCTAGTGATCCAATTAAGTAAAGGGAAGAGATGAGTAATAGATGGATGCATTAACCAATGAACAATGTGTTATTATTCTTTAATTAATTGAAGTGTTTTCTTTTGTTAAATAGACGATCATCTTGGCTACTATCAGTGGAGACAGTGTTTGATCCTGGTCTGCTGACTCAAACTCTAAAGACCTCTGACTCATTGATTAGTTTACACAATCCACCGTAACCAATACTTATCTCTTACAGTAGTTTATTATAAGTGTCTCCTGACAGCCTGCAATAGATAAACTAAAACATTGCATAACTACAGCCAGCAGGAGGAAATATTTAAGACCTGACCTGTTATGAAATGTTATCAAACGTTGGCGTTGCGTAACGGAGTGTGTCTCTATTGTTTAAGCATAATTTAACACATTTTCTGGATATCTACACGTCCAGAAACTCTATTTACTCGTTACATTTCATTTTTCTGGCAACCAAGTGAATTAAAGGTTAGTTTTCCGTCTCCGTTTGGGTCTCAACCATCAAGTTATTCTGCTAATAAATGCCACACTATGGTTCCCAGGTGGTTACAACGTCTGCCTGTCTCAGTGGATGTTTACAGTGTGTTAAATAAAAGTAGAAAACAGCTGCCTTGTGATGCAGGAAATACACAGAGCCTAAAAATAAGCACTCAAATGCCTCGGAGCACTGAGGGAAGAAAAGAGGTTTGTGATGAGTATCATGCTTTTCACATAATAGTCATTTATTTCCTTAAATAGCATACCAATACTGATTAGGGGAACTTAAAGCAACGAAGTCTGTGCGGGCTGAGGAATGCCCTTATAGCGGCTGGCTAATGCATTACGCTTCAAATGTGAATATATGATGTGTGAAATACGCTGGGTTTTGGACAGAGATATTAAGTTGACATCTCGATTAGATAGTCAACATAGAAATAATGAACAACTGTAGAAAATGTTACTTTCAGCTTCTCAAATATGGACTTTTTATACGATATTAAAGTGAGTATCTATGGGTTTTGACCGACAGAGACACCTTGGATCTTGAGAAACTGAGATGGACATTATTCTATATTACCTAGACATGTTATAGAAAGTAATCTGCATTTGCTGTTCTAGTCAAGACGTGCCAAAAGTAGACAATCATGAAATAAAATACAAGTTAATTGCAATGAACTTTGCTCCTCTTATAACCACGCATAAGCCATTTAAAGTCACACATGTACTAATAATAATTAATAATATAAAGTATAGTAAACTTCATTTAGACAAGCAGCTTTTAAACTGAGTAATGAGTGCTTCACATTAAAAGAAAGAAACTCAAATCCAACCACTTGAATAAAACTAAAAGTGTATTTGTAAGCTATACATTTGTCTTTATAGTGAACAAGGTGTTAGTGAGATAAATGAAAAGTCTTACCAGTATGTACAGAGTAGAGAATCAGCAGTCTGTGCAAAGGGAAGCAGATAAAGTGCAGTCAGAGAGGAGGAGACAGCAGCCTCTCATATATATAGTAGAGCCGCTCAGACATGTCAGGACTAGACGAGCTGAGGAGGCCCAGCCTAGCCTGAGTGGGGCCTATCAGGGCCCAACAGGGCCAGTCAGGTCTGAGTCAGCAGTGTGTGTGTGGGGGGGGGGGTTTGTGTGTGTGTGTGTGTGGGGGGGTTTGTGTGTGTGTGTGTGTGTGTGGGGGGGTTTGTGTGTGTGTGTGTGTGGGGGGGGTTTGTGTGTGTGTGTGTGGGGGGGGGGGGTTTGTGTGTGGTAACCGAGCACGCCACAGACCCTGTGTCTCGTCTTTCATAACTTTAAAGTGTAATGATGAAAATGTGATAAAAGTACTTTTTTTTTTGTACTAAAAGCAATCTATAGATAACAAGTGTGTGTGCGTGTGTGTAACTAGATTTTAACTATTGATGAACAAGATATCTGAAGACCTCACCTTTACGAAATATTCAGTTTTTTTTTTTTATAGTTAACACTTTTTAAACTACTTGAAATATTCTTTAGTTGTATTTCTAGATTCTAAATAACAAGTGCACACATTTAAAATAATAATAAATAGAGTGTGTGCGTGTGTGTGTGTGTGTGTGTGTGTGTGTGGTAACTGAGCACAGACCCTGTATGTCTCGTCTTTCATAACTCTAAGGTGTAATGATGAAAATGTGATAACGGTACATTTTTTTGTACTAAAAGCAATCTATAGATAAAAAGTGTGTGTGTGTAACTAGATTTTAACTATTGATGGAATTTAACAAGATATCTGAAGACCTCACCTTTACGAGATGAGCTATTCCCTTTTTTTAAATAGTTAACACTTCATAAACTACTTGAAATATTCTTTAGTTGTATTAATAGATTCTAAATAACAAATGCTCACATTTAAAATAGTGTGTGTGTGTGTTCAATTTGACAGTAACAGCTGATTCAATCACACACACACACACTCTGCCAGACATGCCACTACTAGTCCAGGATGAGTCATCATTACTGTCAAAATGAGCTAACCAGGCTAACCAGGCTAACACATCGTGACTAACCAGTGACTCTGGCCTGGTTTCAGTGTGTTTCCACAACAAGGATTTCTCAGGGTTTAAGAGGATGGAGAAGTGGAAACTAAATGCACTTTGGGATGCCCATGAAGTTAAATGTAGTCTTACCCAAATACATTTTAAATATGGTTTAGTTGTTTAAGTCTGTCTGAACTGCACTGTAAAGCAGTGATGGCTGAACTAGTAACACTTGGTAAAGGAATATCAACAATACAACAGAAAACTGAATTATAGAAAGACACAAAAACAGCACAAGAGGTGGAAATTACATTTACTGAAGTTGAGTATTTCATTTTGTACTACTTTATTCTTCTATTATACTACATTCTTTGGGGGGGGAATTCATGTATTTTGTACTCTGCCTCAATGAATTGATAGTGCTAGTTACTTTGATTTCGATGAATACATAATATAAATCATTAAAGACATGAATTAAAATGTTTTCTAATAGGTTAGGCTACCCAGCAGCAGGACATAAGGTAATGAAAATCACCTCCACCTTTACCAGCATTAAAGACAAAACCCCATTATTGATTAAGTACTCATTATGCAGAATGGCCATTACAGAAACAGGTTAATTCTGCAGTCTTTTTACCTTCAGTACTTAAATTAATGTTGATGCTAATGTCTCTGTAGTTTCACATTAGTTAAGTTTTGGAGGTGGGACTTTTACTTATAACAAAGTATTCCTAAACTGTAGATTTCATCCTTTAACTTGAGCTAAATATCTGTATACTTTCGGCTGGAAATTCTGCAAGAGTACGTTGTTGTTGACGTACTATGTTTACAATCTACTCTTAAAAAAAAAAGTACCTAATGTAAAACATAAGGGAATGAAACACTTGAAAAATAAACCGTAATGTATTTTTAAATCATTATTCTTATATGGGGAAATTCTTATGTGTTAATGTTTCAGAAAACAGTTGAAACTTAACATTTTAAGACACAGGAGCGATCAAATGTATATAAAAGGACATCTCATCACATGTCAGATTATCAGAAAATAACATTCGTTTTTTTATTTTTTATTTATTTTATTACAGTTCCACATCTAATGATCTGACATGAAGCTGGCTATGTTGCGAAAGGCCTGAGGACACGATTTACGACAAACAGCAGCCAACAAGAGATTAGAGAGCGATATCCTGACATGTGTGACCCAACTGGGTTCATCTGACCTGACAACAGGGTCACATCACAGGTCTAACAGACACTTGTGTTCAAGAAAACGTATAAAACACGACACGAGAAAGACATCATAAATATATTTGTATCAGGTATGCGACTGACTAAGAACTATTTTCTTGGAGTTCGGTCTCCTAAATGTCAGAAAATGGTAAAAGTGTCCATCAGTTTCTCGAGGTTAAAGGTGAAGTCTTTAAATGTCTTCTTTGTCATATACATTAAAATCGTAAAAAAACAGAAATACAGAAAACGATGTTTTATTGGGTGAAAACGGCATTTTCTGTAACAAACTAAACACTATTTTCTAAACTCGAATGATAGTTTGGTGTCTAAAATGTCAGAAAATAGTAAAAGTGTCCATTAGAGTTTCTCTGGGTTAGAGGTGAAGTCTTTAAATGTCTTCTTTGTCAGTAAAAAAAACCCCATAATATTCACTTTAATATGATATCAAATACAGCAAATCTCCAAGTTGTTGAAAAGTAAAATTAAAATAGTTGTGCGATTTATTTTTCTGCCTAATAGTTGCAGCTCTAATATATACACAATGCTACTGTTGGATAAAGGATTCAGAGTTTAACTTAATGTTATGTTTTTTAATTCAAATTACAAGTAAGAAAACATTACATTTCGGCAGAAAACTTGTAAAATTGTGCAAAAAGGGCCAAAATCCCTAAATGTTTAGGAGGATAACATGCCCAGACTCAATCCATGCAAGTGTGTATTATTTGGGACTTCAGAGTGAATATGTCTGGGCAGAGGGAGGGTTTTGAGTTTGATTAATATAATGTTTTTTAATTAAAATTACAAGTAAGAAAACATGACATTTCTGCACAAAACTTGTCAAATTGTGGACAAAAAGGCACAAATCCCAACACATCTTTAGGAGCTTAACATGCCCAGGCCCAATCCGTGCAAGTGTGTATTATTTGGCCCTTCAGAGTGAATATGCCTGGGCAGAATGAGGCTTCAGAAAACATGACTGTTCACCTCCAGGTGACTGAGAGCATGAGTCAGCTGCTGCTCCACAAACACAGGGAATATGCCCAGACATGTCCCTGCTCTGCTCTCTGTGGTCAACTCTGACTCTCTATAGCCCTTTCACATGTGATGAACACAGATGAAATGCATTCAGCACCTCAGGATACAACCAGTACAAGTTAACCTACATGTATATAGAAGAATATCCAGAGAAAAACAGTTTAAAATAGACTTAAAAACAAGGAAATTGAAGTCTAGGAGGTTTGCTTTCATTCAGTCTGTGGATGCTAACAATGCTTTTCTGGCAGCTATCTCTTTTTAGTGAATTAAATGACACATTAAAGCTAGTTTTTAATGATTATAACAACATACATGCCTAATAATATGTTGTAATAAATAATAATGCGAGTTAGCATTGCAAAACATTGCATCTCGTTACTTAGTTTTATATGCTATTCCTTGCACACTTAACGAAACATAATATCCTACTTTTAAATCATGTTAGCTGTAATTTGGCGCTTTTTATAGTGTATAGCAGTATTTTTAACAGTTGATGTATATGGCAAAATGTCCCATGTTTAGAGCAATAAAGTCAAATCTAGTCATGTACATTACATCTCAGGCTAAAAACACAAAGTCCTCCCTTTTTAATTAACCGCAAGTAAGTCAAAACACCAGTTTAATACATTAGTTAAGAGTAAAACCATCCCATATTAAATACAAAATCATCTGCCTAGCAACAGTTGATTTTAAATGAGTGACCGTTGGAGAACTTTCAAAAACTTAACAAGCTTAGCTACGGTTACCGCTAAACTATTAAATACTCTACAACTTAACATTAATACCCGTAACGAACATTAACAACAAAGCCGTAACTAAAACCTGTAAAAGCAGTGAATTTCAGTTCTAAAATGTTAATTTAATGTGTCGTTTTTATCGTAACATCGTCCACACATCGTGGCCGCGTTCCCGCTCATAAACCCGGGAACATTCAGCCAAGAAAACACGAGGCTCCGCGGCCTGTTAGCACGCTGCTAACCACCCACTTGTGCTTCTGCAATACAACCTATTTTAAACATATCATATATATATTTCAGTCTTTGTTGTGTTGACCTACCTTGTCAGTGATTCTCGGTTAAATAATATCCTTCAAAAGGCGGTTTTCACCCAGTTTGCTGCACAGTTTGGGGCTCTAAGGTCCAATGTTTACTGCAGTTGTTCCTTCACTTGTCCATGTGACGCTCCTGCTGGCAGAACACTGGCACTACACCCACATCTAATAATAATGGAGGGAAGGCATACAATAACAATGACATTTTTATTTTTGTATTCTCTAATTAGATCACTTTAAGATTATTAGTAATACATTTCTCCAATTTACATATTGCACACAAGTGTTTATTTATTCTACAAGTAAGCAGTCAACATGGATGTAACTAAAGTCACCATTGTATTCAAGCTGGAGACTGATTAAAAAAACAAAAACACCTCCCTTTAATTATTTTGACACATTTCCTCAAAATAATGTCTAGTTTCTTACAATAATGACTTTTAAGAATTGTGCTTTAATCCAAATTAATATGCAGTCGTAGCATTATGTTTGTCTCATATTACTATTATATAAATATACTACACAGCATGGATTTGTTAATGTACTTGTAGTGTATGTATATTACTACATAATATTGTGTATATTAAACTATTCATACTTTATTTTAATACGTCGGTTTTGTAAGGGATTTTCTTAAAAGCCCACTATGTAAATATTTAAAAAAAAAACATAACAAATTAGTACTGCTCAAAATTATTTTAATTATTTTTTTTGTCTTAAAGGTGGGGTAGATAAGTTTGAGAAACCGGCTCGAGATACACTTTTTGTTATATTCCATGGAATGCTCTTAACATCCCGATAGCAATGAATATCTTAAGTGCTTTGACAAAAAATCCATAAAAAAATATCATCTGTGGAAGACGTAATACTGTAAAAAGCACGACCAATCATCTGAGCCGGTCCGGCTAAAATAACTGGATGGCCTACCTGCCTGTCAGCCTTCCATCTGTGCACAAACTTATCTCGTGCCCTCATTGGTCATGTGCGCGTTCGTGTGTGTTGGAGGAGGGGCTCTGTAAGTGTGAAGCTGACCGTTGAGCGGCCCAACCAAGCAAGGAGCCAGAGGCAGAAGGTCCCAAATACTACCCGGTGTGGGCATTTATTTCTCATTGTGGTACATGACACAGCCTCAATATTACTGTCCACGTAAACACCGTCACCAGCAACAAGGATCTCACCCCACAGGCAAAACAGAGCCTAAATACACAGAGACTAATCTAATGGCGCATTTCCATTGCAGCGCGTAGCTCGCTTTAAGCGTGCCGTGTCGTGCCGTCCCCTTTTTTGGTTGTGCTTCCACTAGGCCTCGTTCCGGCGCGGGGCCACTTTTTCCCCTCTTTTCTGGCCCTAGAAAATTGTGGTTCTATCGGGGCCAACAAACAGGGCTGAGTCGGGCTGAGTATGCTAAACTAGAGAGAGGAGCGCTGGCAAGAGGGCTAGAACTACAACAAGATGGACATATTTGACCGTGATTTAATTGTAATACACGTTTCAAAATGATGCCGAAGTAACAACATACTGATACCGGTTAGTAAAAACCATGAATTAATGCTTTGTCAAGTCTGCAGACAGACGGCAGGCGAAACACCTTTTAAAATTCGTGTTTTCTGAATGGAGATTGGCTAAGCTAACGCAGTATATGCTCTGACCGTCCACACTCACAACAACGGCCTACAGACATAAATAAAGCAGCGACTGTATTCACCATGACACAGGCAGTCTGTGGTTTGTACTTGTTTAACTTTTGTCTAGTTTCTGAACAGATATAAGGAGCTGTGAGCTCTGAGTGCTAACAGCTAACGGCTGTGTTGTGTTTCTGGATTTCTCATTGAAGATGACGTCACGGCTCCGCCTACACTGCGTTACTATAGTAACTACCCCAGTTCCTAAACTGTAATGGAAGCGCAGCATGAAGTGAGTCGGCCCTGTTAAGGCCCAACGCGGCCAAGCCGTACCGAGCCGTACCGAGTGTGGCCGAGGCCGACCGTGTAGTGGAAATGCGCCATAAGAGGCCGAGATCTATGGGCCCAGAGATCACCTCCATTACAGTGAGGAAGTCAGTAAGGAAGTGGCAGATTTTCTCCGGCTGTGTATTTTCAAATTCTAGCGCACTCGAGCTGGTTTCTCCAAAATTACCTACCCCACCTTTAAATATAACACCCAATAAATTCGTACTTATCTACTCGAAATATTGTTCAGGTTTTTGTTGTAAAAGAGACAACCATGCAGTTTGAAGGCCCTAAGTTATCGGCAATATGAAGTGCAATTGAAATAAAGATAACACTACAGAAGTACAGGAAAACAAAGGCTTTTATTTTTGAAAAAAACGTTAACAAGATCAGAAAAACATCAGTGATTCAGACACTGTGTGTGTGTGTGTGTGGTGTGTGTGTGTGTGTGTGGTGTGTGTGGTGTGTGTGGTGTGTGTGTGTGTGTGTGTGTGTGGTGTGTGTGGTGTGTGTGTGTGTGTGTGTGGTGTGTGTGGTGTGTGTGGTGTGTGTGGTGTGTGTGTGGTGTGTGTGTGTGTGTGGTGTGTGTGTGTGTGTGTGGTGTGTGTGTGTGTGTGTGTGTGTGTGTGTGTGTGTTCACGGCTGCAGCTCGTAGCCCAGCGGGTCGAGTCCTCGGTCCAACAGAGCGAGAGACGACTCCCTCAACTTCTGCAGGAACCTCCTCAGCTCCTCCTTAGAGAACACCTGTGAGTAAACAAACAAACAAATGAATAAAAGACAACAAGAAGAGAATCAGAATCCGTTTTAGTGCGTTTACACATACGAGGAACTTGCTTTGGTGTAGCTATTACAAAAACTTGTAACAAATAAAAAACCAAAGACAATTTTTACACAAAATATAAATATGTGAGAAACTGAGTATAGTATTCGTCTTATTTTACTGCATATATTTTTGTATATGTGCATCAACGAGTAAACGTCTGTGTTCACCAGAGGTGGGAAGTAGTGGAGTACAAATACTTCATTACTGTACTTAAGTACATGTTTCTGGTATCAGTACTTTACTCCACTACTTATTTTTCTGACGACTTTTTACTTTGACTTCTTACATTTTGAACCCAAATACCTGTACTTTCTACTTCTTACATGTTGAACACAAATACCTGTACTTTCTACTTCTTACATGTTGAACACAAATACCTGTACTTTCTACTTCTTACATGTTGAACACAAATACCTGTACTTTCTACTTCTTACATGTTGAACACAAATACCTGTACTTTCTACTTCTTACATTTTGAACACAAATACCTGTACTTTCTACTTCTTACATGTTGAACACAAATACCTGTACTTTCTACTTCTTACATGTTGAACACAAATACCTGTACTTTCTACTTCTTACATGTTGAACACAAATACCTGTACTTTCTACTTCTTACATGTTGAACACAAATACCTGTACTTTCTACTTCTTACATTTTGAACACAAATACCTGTACTTTCTACTTCTTACATGTTGAACACAAATACCTGTACTTTCTACTTCTTACATGTTGAACACAAATACCTGTACTTTCTACTTCTTACATGTTGAACACAAATACCTGTACTTTCTACTTCTTACATGTTGAACACAAATACCTGTACTTTCTACTTCTTACATGTTGAACACAAATACCTGTACTTTCTACTTCTTACATTTTGAACACAAATACCTGTACTTTCTACTTCTTACATTTTGAACACAAATACCTGTACTTTCTACTTCTTACATTTTGAACCCAAATACCTGTACTTTCTACTTCTTACATGTTGAACCCAAATACCTGTACTTTCTACTTCTTACATGTTGAACACAAATACCTGTACTTTCTACTTCTTACATTTTGAACACAAATACCTGTACTTTCTACTTCTTACATTTTGAACCCAAATACCTGTACTTTCTACTTCTTACATGTTGAACACAAATACCTGTACTTTCTACTTCTTACATGTTGAACCCAAATACCTGAACTTTCTACTTCTTACATTTTGAACACAAATACCTGTACTTTCTACTTCTTACATGTTGAACACAAATACCTGTACTTTCTACTTCTTACATGTTGAACACAAATACCTGTACTTTCTACTTCTCACATGTTGAACACAAATACCTGTACTTTCTACTTCTTACATGTTGAACACAAATACCTGTACTTTCTACTTCTTACATGTTGAACCCAAATACCTGTACTTTCTACTTCTTACATGTTGAACACAAATACCTGTACTTTCTACTTCTTACATGTTGAACACAAATACCTGTACTTTCTACTTCTTACATTTTGAACACAAATACCTGTACTTTCTACTTCTTACATGTTGAACCCAAATACCTGTACTTTCTACTTCTTACATGTTGAACACAAATACCTGTACTTTCTACTTCTTACATGTTGAACCCAAATACCTGTACTTTCTACTTCTTACATGTTGAACACAAATACCTGTACTTTCTACTTCTTACATTTGAACACAAATACCTGTACTTTCTACTTCTTACATGTTGAACCCAAATACCTGTACTTTCTACTTCTTACATGTTGAACACAAATACCTGTACTTTCTACTTCTCACATGTTGAACACAAATACCTGTACTTTCTACTTCTCACATGTTGAACACAAATACCTGTACTTTCTACTTCTTACATGTTGAACCCAAATACCTGTACTTTCTACTTCTTACATGTTGAACACAAATACCTGTACTTTCTACTTCTTACATGTTGAACACAAATACCTGTACTTTCTACTTCTTACATGTTGAACCCAAATACCTGTACTTTCTACTTCTTACATGTTGAACACAATACCTGTACTTTCTACTTCTTACATGTTGAACACAAATACCTGTACTTTCTACTTCTTACATGTTGAACCCAAATACCTGTACTTTCTACTTCTTACATGTTGAACACAAATACCTGTACTTTCTACTTCTTACATGTTGAACCCAAATACCTGTACTTTCTACTTCTTACATTTTGAACACAAATACCTGTACTTTCTACTTCTTACATGTTGAACCTAAATACCTGTACTTTCTACTTCTTACATGTTGAACCCAAATACCTGTACTTTCTACTTCTTACATGTTGAACCCAAATACCTGTACTTTCTACTTCTTACATGTTGAACCCAAATACCTGTA